GGGGGGGGGGTGGGGGGTGGATGGATTTCTATTTGTTTTGAGTTTATCTTCACTTACTATATTTATTCAGGACAATTTGTTTTTGGAATTAATGTTGACTTAATTAGGGAGGCAATGCTCTATGCATTAAGGAATGCCAGTTTCTCATTGAAGAAAGAAGTTATGAACAGTTTTTTGTTCCCTTCTGTCTATATTTGATGAAAGTTTCATCAAACTGAACTTGTTGATTGCTTTAATAATTAATGGTCCTGTACTTTGACTTCTCATTGAGGATAAATCCGTGAATTATGAATGTCACGCATTTTATTTCTAGGTTGGTGTTTAGTGTCTGATTTACTCATTGATTAATGGAGAAGTTAGAACTATGAGAGATTTCTCATGGGAAGGTGTTGCATTTGGTCAAGCCTAGCATTTTCCATGGTCAATACCTTGTGTGAGAAGGTTGGTATAGGACTGGAAATTTGGGTTGTGAAAATATTGTTGCCCTCCTGTGTATATGGTTATAGTGGTTTCCCCTAGAACCTCAAGTGTTGGCAGTACCCCAAGTAATTGCAAGTGAATACGGATTCACTTAATTTCAAGGTAGGGATACGCTTCTATGGTCTCCTTGCTTTGATATCTGTTCATGGTCCTTGAGTTCCCTTTCAGAAGAATGTTTAGATTTAATAGATCAACAGTTTCTGTTCTTGCTTTGATAGCCATTTCGAAAAATGCCTTGTTTATGTCAACTATTTGGTTGAGAGGAGTCTCCTCACTTTGTTGTTTTTTCTTGGTCTTCAGACTTGCAAGTTGGCTTTCCTTTCTTCTATAGTCAATGTCAATATATTTCCAGTTTGCTGTTGGGTGTAGTGTTTTTCTCAGTGCGCCTAGGCAGGAGGCACCGTTAGGAAGGCATGGCCAAAGTTCACGCCTTCTATTGTGCTCTGGGGGGGGTGAGCTTCTTTAGAAATAAATTATATATTTAATCCTAGATAGCAAGGGTGGCTGTGAGGGATGGTGTTGGCCAAATGCTGGACTAAGCCAGCAACTTGTCTTCCATCTTCTGGCTCAACAGACCACTGGCAACTTGCTGGAGATGGTAGAGCACACCGAAATAGAATGAGAGAAAAATAGAGCCCATTGAGGTGAAATACTGAGAATGGAGTAATAATCAATAAAACATGATAGCTCCCCGTCTCGGTTGGAGATGGATGTGTACTAATGTTTAAAGGACTTCCGTTTGTTTTTTTAAATATTTTTCTTTGTTAAACCTAATTTTTATACAGGAAGGTTTCTTGTTATACTTGTCATATATTTTTGTATATTTTACATGTAGTGTGCCTCACATCAAAAGGCCCACATTTTTTCATCTGATTGCGCGTTGGTCCTACTGGCTATTGTGCTTCAGTGCGCCTTGAGCCTGGTTGAGCGTGGTGTGTGGCCAATTTTGTCCTGTTTGGCACCTGCACTTGCTAGTCGTTGTGCAGTCATTTGATTTTTTCTCCTTTTCTTTTCTTTTCTTTTCTTTTTTTCATGTTTTTCTCTCTCTTGTTAACTGAAGAAGATCTCGAAAAGTAGCCCATGTGAAAATGAACACATTAAACTTAATTCAAAGAGCCTATGCTTGTGTCTTTGGCTGTAGTGGTATGCTCTACATATGATCTTAATCACTCACTGAGGTTTTGTTTTCTTTTTGTTTCCAAATTGTGGCAGGCTAGTGGAAGAAGCTGATTATAAGTCCACTACCGAGTTGTTTGGAAAGAGAGGTGATGAGAAGACTCTTGATAATTTCATTCCAAAATCTGAGAGTGACTTCTTGGAATATGCAGAGCTGATCTCTCATAAACTTCGCCCATATGAGGTTTATACAATTTTTCCTTCTTTGTCATTTTTGTCTTTCAATGTATGAGCATAACTCATTCTCATGAGCTTTCCCTTAAATATTCTTGTTGCAGAAAAGTTTCCATTATATTAATCTGCTTAAAGATGCCATGAGACTGTCGATGACTTCTTTAAAAGCAGCGGATGCTAAGGAAGTTGCTTCTTCTGTTACTGCACTTGCAAATGAAAAACTAAAAGCGGAGAAGGAAGCCAATGCTGGTAAAAAGAAGACGGGTAAATACTTACATTTATGCTCCCAATGCTGTCTTCCTTTTCCGAATGCTTACAACGTTTTAACGGACCAAATGAGTGTGTGACGTATGTGAACTGTTTCAATTTTTTCCTGTTGTTGGGAACTGCTGCAGCTGTGAAGAAGAAGCAGCTCCATGTTGAAAAAGCAGATGATGACATGATTGCCAATACGTATGATGCTATCGATGACTACGACTTCATGTAATTGCTCCAGTTCAACATATAGCCCGAGTATCATCGATTTTTGGCCTGCGAATGGAGGTCAGGTTATTTGGCATATCTCCCCTTTAATACACCAATAGATTTATTCCCGAGTGTCTTGTCTCAATAAGGTTCATGTATTAGACTTGTGTATGGTATATCATTATAAATTTTGCTCTTTTACTTCATTATTTTGTTCAATAGAGCCTTTGAGAATGTAAAAGAATGCGGTGGTCATTTCATTTCAACTCAGATTGTCAAGTTTTGTATGTCGTGAATATTTTTTCCTCCTACTTGATTTACATTTTCTTTCAAAAAGTCGTTGGTTCTATAAAAATTCTTAGTGCTGTATTTTGTGTCTAGTTTTTTGGCAATACGTATTGGGACCCCCCCTAATTTTTCTTTGGTCAAGATTTTCATCTTCTGCAAGACGCCTGCACGTTTTTTAATTCATAACTCGATGATAATTTAACATAACAAAAGGCTCTGTTTGAAGGACCAATGGATGTGTTTTCCTTTGGTGGGGGACTCTTATCTTCACGAACAACGCCCCATTTTCGGGGGCTATTTTCGATGTTGATCTTTAAGGGTCCTACAATTTTGAAATGATCCAAGAGAAAATTTATTCAATTGTAAATATTTCTAAGAAACAAAACTTGAATTAGATTCTCCTTTTTAGTGGAACATAAGGTGATGGAAAGTACGATAGAGACCATGACTCCTCATATAAGATGATCGATCTAAGGTTCCAGTTGTGCTCACTTGAATTACAGATTTGTTACTTTTTCCACCAAACTAACGTTATGATTGTTTCGATCACTTTATTTGAGTTCATATTACAAGAATGAAGCGATAAAAATGATAAACCAATACAAAAGTAATAAATTGCTAACTCAATCAAACAATTATTACTGATAAAAAAAGAAAACATTGAATGCGGACAATTGTTATGAAGGAATAAAAACTAAATTCACCAAAAGAAAAAAGTGAAATGCTTGAAATAGAACAATCAGGAACCTTTTCATAAGAACCGGTATTTGGTATCATAAATCAAAATCATATTAGGTTGTACGTTGAGAATGAATCAATAACAGATGACTGATAGGAATTATCAAAATAATGGGTATAATAATGCTTCATCCCTTGTAGTTCTTTGAACATTAGACAACCAAAAGAGCATTCACTAATTTACTTGCAACTAGAAATTGGGGAAAATTTTTAGGAGAAAGACTAGCACTTTTGTTCAAGCACCCGGTTCCACCAAAGAAGCCCGAAGCCAGTTTTTCATCTGTCGCCTCCACGACTTCCACATTCACGCCCGGATGCTTGCGGATCTATTCATAGTATTTCAGCAGCAGCTTTCTTTTGCTGATGAATAAATGTATTAGTGGAGATTGAAACCCCCAACAAGTCTTAATGCATTGCACTTCTACGTTTTGGTTTTGTCAGAGCCTCAAGAAACCGATACATCCAACGGTCTAGCATTCCTGTGATTTTAGCAGAAGAAATCATCATTTTTGAGGCTGGAATAATGATAAAGCAATGACTTCAGCACTCTAAGATATGGGGGATCCGAGGAGTGATTATGCCTTAATGTGATCAGAAACTAGTACCCCACATTCATTTGTTGTACTGAGCAAAAAGAACTCAGTATGGCCCAAAACGATTCAGTATGACCCAAAACGATTTACTTCAATCTGGAAGTGTTCTACTTCTATGTTACTTTTGCTTAACATGATCACATGAGGATTCCAAAATCACACAGCAGATCGATAATTTCTCAAACCTGTCACAGCGAAGGTACCGCCTAACACAGCGCAAAGCCGAGTTATGAAGTGGAAAAAACCTCGTCTTTCTTCTTTGATGGTCACTGTGATTGGTGATAGATCATATAAGAAGTAAACAGCTGCACATCATTGAAAACGATGGTAAGTTTCAACCTGGTTTCTCAAGGAGTTTGAATAACCAAATAAACATCATTTAGTCCTATCTATTAACATTTGATAAATTAATGTCAAAGAACATATATAATTTTTCTAAAGCATATTCCTCATGGGGTAAAAATACATTCCTGACTGTAGAATGTAATCATTATAAAAGGAAATTATAACATGAAATTGCATTAACCAACCTGGCCATGACCTATCGAAGTCATTCATAGGTGAGAAATATTCAGTGACTGAAAACTGATTGGTAGGTAACACATCTTTTGAGATATATTTATATTCAGTTGGAACAATCTGCAACAAAACATGGAAAACATGTAATATAGTTAAATATAGTGTTTATTGGTTTATCGTAAACAGATAATAGCTAATGAGAGAAGGAATAAATAGGCGATCAAGTAAAAGACTATTCCTAATTGGAATAAATAGGGCAGACTCAGGTGCAGTACACGGATCCTATTATTACCATCTAACTTCTCAGATGTTATTTAGTATGATTTCCTGATTTTACAAATCAGTTCATGCTGCACTATGAGCTACACGGGCAATGAAAGGGAAAGGGAGAGCGTTGAGGTGCAGGGAGGTAGCTACTCACCACCAACTTCAGTACGTGCAGTAATATACATCAAATTATCTTGCAAACTTTGAAATAAAAATTTATGCGCCAAATGTATCTTATGGCCATGCACGGGTTTTTACCTTTATATAATATTTAAAGGTCCCACTTGTGTCATGTAAAATTCGAACTGTACCATCAAGTGGGTTGTGAATTCCAGGGTATTTTGGACCAAAAGACAAATCATGAATCATGTGACTGACATTCACATGTTTAGACCCTTCAAAAATCTGCAAAAAAAGAAAAGAAAAGAAAACAGAAAAAGGTCAAACTAATTATTGGAACAGGGAGGTGGAACACGCTTCACAGAAAGACGTCATGAAAACAAGGAAGAAATAAAAGGCAACACATCTTGCATTTGAACTAAACTCCCAAAGTTGTGTCAATTTCTACAACATGAACCCATGTTAATATATATTGGAGGGAGATCAAGATCAGGCGAAGAAACTACACAAAAGAAAAGTAAGGCAAACTGACCGTTTGGGCCACAAAAATGTTTAAGCCATGAACTGAAATATGAAAGTTCCCAGCAACCCTCTGAACATCTAGAACCCCATAAACCTGCAAAAAGATTGCACTTGTCTCATATTTAGAACCAGCAGGTAATAATCTTACAGGAATTGCATATAGATTACCCGACAGCCTTGACCTTCAGATATCGCTTGCTTAACCTTTTTGACCAAATCTTTAGCAGCTTGATCAAAGCCGTGTATATGAAGATTATCTTTCTCCTCTTCATGATCTGTCAAAAAGTTATATAGATGACGTTATTTTGATGCAAAAAGAGAAGTAATTTAATTATACAACAGATTTAGGCATTTCACGAAGTTGGCAACTAGGCGTCTCATGAAACAGAAGAGCTTGTGTGGTACACGTAAATTTATCCAGAGTGAGAAGTCACATGTTCTCAAGTTAAGCTCTAAATTCTTTTAGAAGCATAATACTGAAGACCGGGATGTCGAATATGTGATAAAAATTTCATTAAATTAACTGTGTCCATTTCTATTTTAAAGAGAGAATAAACGAGAGAAGTTGTCTTAGTCGAAGGTACTCCAGAAAAGTAGTGTAATATTTCTTTACTAAGATTACAAAAGGAGACCATATAGCTAGAGGCATCCAAGGCAATCACCTAAGGCACCGCTTGGGCTTGCATAAGAAACACACCTATCAAAGGTCACCTAAGTTCAACATTGACCATTTAGCCACACCAATTTAATATTTAGAGAAGCCATGGAATATTAACATCTCAAGGAAGGGGATGCAAATCGATCCCATGACCTTCTTGGATCACCACGGATACGAAATAAGGTGTCGTAATCATGCCATAAGACTTCATGATGGATGCAAGATTGTACCATACATGTTTAGATTTAGAGAGGTTTTATTGAATTTTTCAATTTTAGAATATTATTTTTAAGGTTTTAAATTACCATTAGTTAGTGATCATTATGGTATCGATGGGCATTAGAGTTGCAATCTTTCAATTGACCATATGTTACTTTAAGGTTTATTTTCAAGCTTATAACTGGACATTCATGTTGTTGCTTTAGTAGGGAAGATTTTGGATATTAAAATGAAGTTCGCATATTATGTTTCTTAAGCCATAAACGTGTTCCTTTGCATTTCTTGTGTTTAAATTTGCATGATAGTCATTCAAGTAGAGTCTTGATCAAGCTATCTTGTGAAGTGAGAAACAAGTTTATTTTTTTTTTACTCTTGATCTTGATCATCAAGGTAATCTATTCCAAAGCTTTCCCTTAGATTGATTCCTTATCGTTTTTGTGGTTCTTGGATACTTTAGATCTAAAGGTCTTATTCTTCAACAAGGTTCTTAGATCAAATCCTAAGAGTTTCATAACAACCACCAGTACGACCTATCTTTGAGGATATTTCGAAAGGCAAATTTTTAAGTTCATTTACAAGGTTAATGGGTAACTGTACATTTAGTAACTGTATTAACCTGGTGTAAACGTTACTCCACTTTTAACAATTATAGCTTGAATGATCTTTTGGCCTCTTAGATGAATCTTTTGTATTCTCCTTTGACCACGAGTTGCCTTTCTTCCCCTTTTATGTACTTCTCCATTCTTTCAATGAAAATCTCTCATATTAAAAAAATTAACAACAAAATGATAGTAGTTTATGATGTGGTGGTGCAGATTAGAGATGGAGCTTCAACACAGGAGCCACAAAAACCTTGGTGCAAAGGAGAAGGGAATCGCAACTGACGAGGTGGTAAGTATTAAAAAAATAATAAAATGAAAGTAGTTCATGATGTGGTGGTGCACATTGGAGATGGAGGTTCGACACAGGAGCCACAAATACCTTGGTGCAAAGAAATGGAGAAAGGAATCGCAACTGACAAGGTGGTAAGGGGAAGAATTGTAATGGTTTTTGCAACCGATCCAAGAAAAAGGTGCTACTGAGATCGAGGTGGAGGCTGGCTGGCTGGTGCAAAGATTGAGGTGGACGGAGATGAAGTAGAGAAGGGAATATGGTCTTTATAAATGGGAGTGACAAAGACCGCTTGGAGAGAATACAAAGGAAAAGAAATGAGGAAGAAGAAGATAGGATTGGCCATTTTTGTTTTCAATCCAAAGCTTGCATTCTAGAGTTTGAAATGAACGTCTTTTTTCATAGAGAGAGAAACCACTTTAAATAGTAGTATTTTTGCACGCGAGCACGTTATATACTTTCTTAATGCAATTTTCGTTCTTTCAATTCAAATCTCTCATTAAAGAAACTAATAATAAAATGAAAGAAGTTCATGGATGATATTGGATTTCTCT